GCTGGTTCTTCTCAGGACAAAGGTTTTTTTCCAAACCAGTGGTACATTAAAAAAGTAACTTCCCATAAGTATTATTTATTAATCTATATTCAATAAAAAATCTATTTTTGTTTCTGTTTATGCATGTATGTAATTACATATAACGCACGCACCCTGAGGACTGACGAGAAGATACTGGAGCTGGAAGAAGAGGTAAACAAGTTGCGATGACATATTATAGGATTATCCGAGGTCCGAAGAGAGGGGGAGGACACGGTAATCCTCAAGTCCGGCAACTTGTTCTATCACCGGGAGGGCGACCATCTATCCCAAGGAGGTGTCGGATTTATCGTTCACAAGTCTCTTGTCAACAACGTTGTAAAGATTGGGATTATGTCGACGAGGGTTGCGTACCTGATACTCAGAATCACCAAACGGTATTTGCTGAAGGTCATACAGGTTTACGCACCAACCTCGGCACATCTCGAAGAGGAGGTGGAGGAAATGTATGAAGATATCTCTAAAGCCATGCATTCCTCCAAAACCCACTATACGGTGTTGATGGGAGACTTTAACGCAAAACTAGGTACAAGAGAAAGCGGTGAGCTGAAGTTAGGGAAATTTGGAGTATGGCAACGGAACCGTAGGGGCCAGCAGCTGGCTGACTTTATGAAGAAAAAGGGACTATTTATGACGAACTCTTTCTTCCAGAAGCGGCCCCACAGGAAGTGGACCTGGTCGAGCCCCGACAGTTCGACAAAAAATGTGATTGACTTCATTATGACAACCAGACGCCAACTGTTCAGTGATGTCTCAGTGATCGCAAGGGTGAAAACTGGCAGCGATCACCGAATGGTTAGAGGCACACTGAACCTAAATGTTAAGTTGGAGAGGTCTCGCTTAATGAAGTCAACGCTCCGTCCCCCTCGTGCTCTGATCTAGAATCCCGAAACTTTTCAGCTCAAGTTACAAAACCGCTTTCAGTGCCTAGATGACATATATAGTGCATAGATGGCAATACAGTGGACGATATGAATGACAATCTCGTGGAAACTGTCCATGCGGTCGGAGCTAAGTTCTACGAGACCCGCCGCAGAAGAACACAAAAACTCTCCGATCACACTCTTAATCTCATGGATGTTAGACGGGAGATGAAGCTGCAGTCGTCAGCAGATTTGACAGCATACAGGCAACTGAACAGACAGATCTCCAAATGCATGCGGCAGGACTTACGCAACTTCAATACAGCTCGTATTGAAGAAGCGATTGAGCGGAACCAGGGCTCCAAAGTCTTTGCCAGAGATCTGTCTGCCGGAAAGAGCCAACTGTCAAAGCTGAAGACTGAGTGTGGCGGCATCGTTTCTGGGACACCCGAGATTTTGAGTGAGATTGAAAGGTTCTATGGGCAGCTGTACACATCATCGTTGGAGCCACACGCAAGTATGAGTAACGATCCAAGAGCAAGTCTTATCCGACATTATTCCGATGACATCCCGGACGTCAGTCTGAGTGCGATTAGAATGGCTCTCCAGCACCTTAAAACGGCAAGTCCCCGGGCGAGGATGGAATTACAGCGGAGCTTCTGAAAGCGGGTGGAACACTGGTAATTAAAGTCCTTCAGAAGCTCTTTAATTCCGTCCTCCATGGTGGCACTACTCCCGTGGCGTGGAGCAGAAGTACGGTTGTCTTGTTCTTCAAGAAAGGTGACAATGCTCTCTTGAAGAACTACACACCGATATCTCTTCTGAGCCGCGTCTACGTGCTGTGTTCGAGAGTCATTACGAATCGTCTCACACGCAGACTCGACGTCTTCCAGCCTCCGGAAAAAACCGGTTTCTGAAAAGGCTTTAGACCACGGACCACAGACATACCCTTCGGCAAATTGTACAGAAGTCCGAAGAGTACAATCTGCCACTTTTCCTGGCGTATGTGGACTATGAGAAAGCCTTTGATTCCGTCGAAATTTGGGCGGTGCTACAGTCTCTTCAGCGGTGCCAAGTTGACTGTCAGTATATCGAAGTGCTGAAGTGTTTGTACAGTAGGGCTACGATGGCTATCCGAGTACAGAACCAGAGTACGAAACCTATCCAACTGCAGAGAGGTGTAAGACAGGGTGACGTTATATCCCCGAAACTCTTCACCGCTGCATTGGAAGACGTTTTCAAGCTACTGGACTGGAAAGGATACGGTATTAACATCAATGGCGAGTACATCACTCACCTTCGATTTGCGGACGATATGGTCCTTATGGCAGAATCACTGGAGGACCTAAGCACTATGCTCAATGACCTCAATAGTGCCTTCCAACGGATAGGTCTTAAGATGAACATGGACAAAACAAAGATCATGTTTAATGTCCATGTCACACCTATGCCTGTAGTTGTTGGGAGCACTAAGCTCGAAGTTGTTGACGAGTACGTTTACCTGGGACAAATAGTCCGACTAGGTAAGTCCAACTTCGACCGAGAGGTCAATCGACGGATTCAACTCGGCTGGGCAGCGTTCGGGAAATTACGTTACATCTTCTTGTCAGGTTTACCTCAAAACCTGAAAACGAAATTGTACAACCAGTGCGAGTTGCCAGTTATGACATATGGAACTGAGACGTGGTCCTTCACTGCTGGCCGTATGAGGACACTCAAAGTCGCTCAGCGAGCTATGGAGAGGGCTATGCTGGGGGTTTCTCTGTGTGATAAACTTAGAAATGAGGATATCCGCAGTAGAACCAGAGTGACCGACATAGCCCAACTGTAATATAAGTATCTGTAAGCTGAAGTGGCAATGGGCCGGCCATATAGCTCGAAGAACCGACAACCTTTGGGGAAAAAAGGTTCTCGAGTGACAGCCTCGTACCGGTAGGCGTAGTGTAGGGCGACCCCTCACTAGATGGAGTGACGACCTGGTAAGACATGCAGGAAGTCGATGGATGCAGGTGGCTCAGTACCGTGCTTTGTGGCATACTTTGGGGGAGGCCTATGTTCAGCAGTGGACTTGTGAAGGGCTGTAATGATGATGACCTATAAATGTAGTGATTATATACATTTTAGTGTTATGATCAATTTCACTACGGATTTTTGCATCGTAAATCAGTGCTACCTATGTGGGTTAGATTTTATGAGATTCCGATTTGGCATTAATACAACTTTAATATACAATACATTCTGGTTCATCAACATACTTTAAAATTTGTATGCAACTTTACCACTGTGCCGCATATCGCATCCTAGAATATAATGATGTGCTAGGATCCGATGTGTCCTCAATAGGTCAACACCTTCGGAAGTTTCACGATCACTAACAGGCGTATTAATGATTTTATAAAGTTTCATTTTATTTTTGAACGTGTTTTTTGCTACGCAACTTAGTTGCTAATTGATTTTCACAGGCGTTAAAGCATTTATAATCAGTGTGTGTGAGTGAATTAGTCAAACCTTTTTTATCTCTAAAAAGTATTGTTAAAGGGTTTCTCTTATATTTATTCAAGTGGTGTGCTGTATGATTTTTCTGTTACTTTAGACCTGAGACTGGCAATTATGGTAATCATGGCAATGTCATCACAACTGAGTGATTTCACTGAAAATGAATTTCTTCATTTAGTCTAAAAATGTAGAAATTCATAGACGAGCGTTCAAAGATGCGAGGCGGTTGGCGAACATAGCAAACAATTTCTTGTACTACCTTGTTCTAAATGACAGGCGCTTAGAATGTACCTACGCTGAACCTGACACAGCAGCGCTGCATGAACGTTTGATATATAAAATATAACTATATTATTTAAACAATAAACACAACGGGGACCGAACCATTCCATCTTGATGGCTGAGAGTGACAACGTATTTTCATTTTGACTCTTAATCGTGTCTATAGACAACATCCTTTTATCATCGGGTTTCGACTTGGTAAAGCCATGTTGCAGCTACAATATGGTTGTAACATGAACGGGTCGACTCGATCGGGGTAAGAACACGCTCTCATAGAATAACAGCGTAAAATAGCAGCTTAATGCTGTTGTGTTTCGTATGGAGAGTGTAGAGAACCAGAGACCCTTCTTACTGGAAATGAGACAGCCATCTTAGTCCTCACGAGTGACAACGCATCTGCATATTGATTTGTAATCGAGGATAGATGTAGATGACCATTTTTTTACAGGATAGGATGAGAAACGAGCACACAGTCCATCTGACGTTAAGTGGTTGCTGTGGCCCATAGACATCTACATCTATGCTACGATTATATTGCATTTTTTTGAAAATGAGGATCATATTGCATTGATAAACGTATACTTTGATTTTAAGAACAGAATATTGGCGACAGTGTTACCTGATGGTCAGTGGATGCTTGGTCATAGAAACTCTATTCTCGATTAAGAATCAAAATGGGTTCTAGTCCTAGTCTGTGGACCAAGATGAATACGATATATAGATGTACTTTCACGTTTTCAGCTTACTAAAGGTCATAGATCATAGTCATTTCTTATACTTGTAGTAGCTTACTAAAGGTCATAGATCATAGTCATTTCTTATACTTGTAGTAGTACATATAAGATTTATTACGTGGTGAACCATTCTGAGCTTATTATACCGTAGTCCTGCTCCGGCGAGCCGACCCATTCGTGCTACAACTATACTACTAATATAACTGCAGCGTGGTTCTACCACGTAAAAAATTAATTTAATTAATTAAAAAATTGATTAAACAATTACCATCAGGTGGTGTCTTTGTTTGTCCCCCTTCCTATAAAAAACGTTGTAGGTACGCTGAAATCACCGCAGCGCTGCATGAAGTTTCTATGCCCAAGCCTTAGTCTAAGAATGTTTCGTAGCCAATTATCAATTAATAGGATCTGAAAAAAGAAATCCTACAATTACACACACACACAACAAAATAACACTTTCCATCTTGGTAGCTAAGACAACATCCATATACCATCAGACATACAGTGTTCTCATTTGTCACACTTACTTTTATATAAAAGATACTTTAGTCAGAAAAAATACTAGTCATTTTTCTATTCTTCCCAGATAACCCTAAAACCCACGAGTGGAGACGGTCTACTCCTGTACAACTCGGAGCGTCCGAGTGGAGACGGGGACTTCTTCTCGTTGCACCTGAGGGACTATTTTGTTGAGTTCGCTTTCGACCTTGGCTCGGGGATTGCGCTCGTGAGGTAGGTATTATTTTCTGCAGTATATGCTTATAGTGCGAGGTTTGATCCCAAACAACATCTTTATGTGCTCTGTGTATTAAAAGCTCGCACAGAACATCTTTATATGTACTATTATTCAATTCAATTTACATTGCGGCGGAATGGAGTGGAACGGAAGCATCAATTTTGCCACGACGCGCAGGAAGGCGCGTTAATTTACCTACGTTCTATACGACAGTCGCCTTGGGGCTGTAGAAAAGTTATTCTATATTCCACGCCCTTCGCGCCACTACCCGCGAATTCCACAGACTTCGCCGGAATGCTCGAACATTCCCGCGACTTTACCTACGTTCAATACGACAGTCGCCTTGGGGCTGTAGAAAAGTTAGTCTATATTCCATGCCCTTCGCTCCACTACCCGCGAATTCCACAGTCTTCGCCGTCAGTAGCTACGGGAAGCCTCGAGAATTCCCCGGAAGATACGCGACTTTTTTTTACTCATACCTAGTTTGCGCGTTACACAATTAACATAAGACTCATTTTACTAAGTACAATTTCGTTACAAAAATTCGCTTCCATTCCGTTCCGCAGCAGTATAAATTGAGTCTAATCCTATCCTGCACAGAGACTAGTCTCCATTGTGACTCGCCGCCGTGGATTCGGTCTGGATGATAGTAGTGATGTTAGAATTTAATGACAGATCCGTATTGCGTTAAGCATCCACCTTAAAAATACGATAAAACTTCTATTTAAAAAAAGAAGAGAATGCAGTAAACAGTAGCTATATTCACGAATAGAAACGGAGATGTAAACTAAAAAGTTGAGTCATGTTCTTTGATCAAACAAGTGTCACAAAATTATGATATAATATGTTTCTAGTTAGTTTTTTTTTTATTTCAGGTCAGCCTACCCATTAGAACCAAACGCATGGCACAAAGTGTCAGTAAGTCGAGCAGGCCGCAGAGCATCCTTGCGAGTCCGCCCCACAACAAACGTGACGGGGACGTCACGACTCGAGTCCTTCGTGACAGTACGTGAGGTGACCGACACGACGCGGTCGGTGACGTCACGTGGGGCTGCGAGAAGATTGACGTTGAAGCAGCCTATGTTTTTGGGTGGCGCACCTCATCCTTTGCCGCCGAGACTGGCTTTGAAATCGTCTTTTAGTGGATGTGTTGGACAAGTGAGTAGACTACGTAATTAAATTATTTCTAAATTACTTCTTCATCGCGGTTTTGAGGCGCAATGGCTTAACAATGAGTTGTGACGCTTAGGCGTCGAACAACTTATTGCTCTTAAGCCACGGGTAGCCCGGCGAATCCCGCATGGAACAAGTATTTGTATGGCCTACAAATATTTTTTACTTAAGCCAGTGCTTTGCCACAAGTAAGTGGTGATACAGCCTTAGATAGAAAATCACGCTGTCTTAGCGTGACAAAAGCCTATTCACTCTTACCTTGGAGACGACCAGATTGTATTCGGACGGAAAGATAGACGCCGGCAAATTATTCCACTCCTTTGCTGTACGCATTACAAAAGACGCAGCAAACCATTTGGTTCTAATGAGTGGACCCGCCACCATCTGGTGAAAAGGAGAGTGAGGAATTAAAACATGTAATTCCGAAATCATCGAAATGCATCCTATAGAATACTGATAGGCTGACTAATCTGGCCTGTGCTCGAGGCTGACTAGATTGTTTTCAACCAAATCAAGATTACCAATGAACCTCTCAGCACGTCTCTTCACTGAGTACAACACTGCTAGGTGACATATTGCAGCACCAGCCTATATGTGACAGCAGTACTCTATGCACAACCGGACTTGGACTTCATATAAGGTAAGAAACTGCCCGACGTGAAGTACCGCCGCACCCTTACAAGGACACCTAGTTTCCTTGCGGCTGCTCCGGGTCTTTTGTCGGGATGTTTGTCCTTGTGAAATTTATGTGTTTAAACTGCCTCCACGATACGGAAATCCTTAAGTGAGAGGGAGAAATATTTTGTTGAAAAAAGAAAAGAAAAGAAAGATCATCATAAGCCTACACAAATCCACTGCTGTAAATGGACCTTTTCGGTTGTAAGGTGGATTTACCTTGATTGATGACTGCAGTACCAGACTTCTCGCATCTTTGACATCGCTCTCCGTCGATGATCTGGATATCTAGCAAAAACTAATAATAACCACTATACTTCCGCTTTTTATTTTAATAAGTTTAATTATACGTCACCTGGTAGAGCAGCACGTTTCACGAATGAGTCAGCTCGAGCGGGGCAGGACAAGAACAATAATGAACCACATATTATTTGTTTATCAGAGACATTCATAGAAAAGGGGGCAGAAAATTTCTTTAAATTAAGTAACTACACATTAGGGGCAATTTTTCGTAGATTTGAAAAAAGAGGTGGAAGTTGCATCCTAGTAAAAAAAAATTTACTTTTTAATAAAATATTATTTTTAGATGACTATGGTATAGAAAAACATTTTGAGTGTTGCGGCATTGAAATCTCAGGAAATAACCTTATTATTATAAATCTATACAGAACCCCCAGAAGTGATGTTAATTTTTTTTAAATAAATTGAATTGTCTGCTTAGTACCCTATACAAAAAGTATGGATATAAAAAGAAAATTGTGTTGACAGGGGACTTCAATATTAACACTTTAAAGTCTAACAAATTTACAACTATGTTAAATGATTTAGCACTAAGTTATAACTCAACGATACATATCAAAGAACCTACCCGAAAATCGTCTTGTATTGATCATATATTAAGTAATATTAAATCAGCAATACCAGTTATCTTACAGCTTTATTTAACTGATTGCCCAAATGCTGAAAATACCGGTTAAATCTGTGAAACAAAAACCCAGATCCTATTATGTTTACAAAAGAGATTACTGCTCTGAAAATATAGAAAAATTTAATGGCTATCTTGGCAGTCTTACATTTAATGATATTTTAGAAGAAACTGATACAAATAGAGCATTTGAAAAATTCCATGACTTATTTCTCCTACTTTACAATCTATGTTTCCCGCAAATGAAAATAAAGATAAACAACACATACAACAAAGCCAAATGGATAAGTAAAGGACTAAGGATTAGCTGCAAACGGAAAATATTACTTAGATATAAATATTATACGAACAAAGACATCTTTAGTAAACATATCTATACAAATTATTCAAAAATCTTAAAAAAATGTATTTACTTATCAAAAAAAAATTAGAAATATATATTTGATTAACACGAGCATTAATAAGTGCAAAACTTCGTGGTCAATTGTAAATAACGAAATAGGTAATAATTCAAAAAATATTGACATTATTAATATAAAAGATAACAATACTATTTTAACTGACTCAACTGATATAGCAAATAACCTCAACAACTTTTTTATTAATGACTCACAGCAATAACATCAATAATAATATAACTAATAATAATAAACTTAAAACTAATTCTACAGAGCTCAAGTCAATGTTTCTAAGAGAAATGTCAGAAAAAGAAGTTAGAAATGCAGTCATATCTCTTAATAACTCAAAAACAACTGGCTATGACGGAATATGTACCAATATTATTAAAATTTCCATCGATAATTTTATAAAAATACTTACACATCTTATAAATTTATCCTTTTCAACAGGTACTTTCCCAGAAAAACTTAAAGTATCAATAATTAAACCGTTGTTCAAGAAAGGTGAAAAATATGATGTTAATAATTACAGACCTATTGCATTAATATCAATTTTCTCAAAAATATTCGAAAAGTGCATGTTTTTGCGCCTTTCTGAATATTGTAATAAGATTAGTGTCATCAGTCCACAACAATTTGGTTTTCAGAAAAATAAATCTACTTCTTTAGCCACGTATACATTAATTAAATCCATCTTAGAAAGTGTAAATAATTCATATCTAACCACTGTATTGTTTTTTGATCTATGTAAGGCCTTCGATTTCGTAGACCATAAAAATCTTCTTAAAAAACTGGAAAATATGGGCATTCGAGGAATTCCTTTGCAGTGGCTAGAATCTTTTTTGTCAAACAGAAAACAAAAAGTTGAAATAAAAAATCTCAATAACCAAAATGAACTGACTTCTTATTATTCGGATTTTAGGGACAACAACTTTGGCGTCCCACAAGGAAGCATTCTCGGGCCCTTGCTTTTTATTTTATATATAAATGATATTCCAAATATAACTAAATTTAAATGTACTATGTTTGCAGACGATATTTCAATAAGAATTGTTACTAACCCAAGGAAACATTCATTTAAAAAACATGAATCTGACATAAATGACACAATCAAATCAGTAATAGAATGGTTAAATATAAATAATTTAAAAGTTAATCTTACCAAAACTCATTATATTAAATTTGATAATTTGAAAACGAATAAGCTTGACATATATTACAACGAAACCAAAATTGAAGAAATGACGCAAACTAAATTTCTTGGCTTAGTAATTGATAGAAACCTTAATTGGGAGGCTCATATTAAGTCAGTGTGCGATAGAGTAAATAAATTTGTATATGCCGTAAGGTATATTAGAAAAGTCACTAACATAAATATAGCCCTCTCGGTTTATCATGCTTATGTAGTTTCAATTCTGCGTTACATGTTAATTATCTGGGGAAATGGTTCTCAATTAAATAAAGCCTTTATCACTCAAAAAAATGTCTACGAGCATTGACTCTTAAAGCGCCATTTGATTCATGTAAACCTTTATTCAAAAACCTTAAGTTATTGACATTGCCCTCGCTCTACATATGTATATGAAATTTGTTTGTTCGTTAAACAACACAACCATCTGTTTACTAAAGCAAAGGGTATATCTTCTCGAAACCATAGATACCCCGAAAAACTTGTAATCGACACACTTCCTAGATTATCTAAGTATAATAAAAGCTGTCTATATATGTGTGTCAAAATATATAATAAAATTCCTCAGCATATTAAAGCACTTTCTTTACCAAGATTTAAAAAAAGCCTCAATGATTTTCTTGCAGAAAGTACCTTTTATAGCGTCAAAGAGTTTCTAGATTGTAAATTTAACGAATGAACTGCTGTAATTTCACTGAGCATTGATATTCTATTCTATTTAAAAATAATTAATAATTATCCGACATCTTTCTTCTATTACGCCATTAGCTCTTGATAAAAAAAAATTGAAGCCGAAACTTAATATATTTCATAATAATTAAATTGCAATTTATTTAAATTTTTGCTAATATTTTGATACAGTTTATGACAATATAGTAACATGTTGTACTGTATATGTATTCATCCGAAAATAAAAATCTCCTATTTTAATAATGGTGAAATAAAAAAAAAGAAACTGATCTTTTTGACATTAACATTTATTAATTTTTTAACATTGAGCTATTATGTACTGCGTACTAGAGGCGACACTGCATTCAGCTACTCTGTTCCACTCAACTGCGGTGAATACACCGCACTTTAATCAGTCACTCGCTAGGCGCTTATAGAGTTGTCACGTGTTGTGTTGATTAAAAAAAATCTCTTGATAAAAATATGCCGTCGTGTGTACTTAGATATTGCACAAATAATTCAAGAAATGTGAGTAAAAACCAAGGAATTACTTTTCATCGGTTAATAAGATACATAATCAATAAAAAAGTATTATGCATTAATAATAAAACAAATTATTCCTAAGACGCCATCTCGTGTCAGGGTATATAGATTATTAAATTAATATGTTCAGATGCGACATTTCTGTGGGTACTTAAGTATAAGACGAATATAATAGTATACACATTTTTTTTGTAGAAACATATATAAGTTATTATAATTTGGCATAATTTTTCATGTTTAAATCTGCTTATTATTCTTTTTATTTTATTTTTAGGTTCCCACATCAAAGTCAAAGTTGTACAAATTCGTCCATTTTTAACTCCCGCGTGCCCAGCATTTATGAACGACTTTTATTCTAATTTAAATAAATATATTTGTAATTTAAACGTTATGTTAATAAGTTTTGTTAAACATACATTTAGTATGTTTTTTATATTTGACTTATATACCTTTTAATACTTATATATTTTGATAAAAATATCATTAAATTGTAATTATGATATAATATCATGTAATAATATATTAAATAAGCAAATATAACATACAAAATAAATAACGAAATTTAAATACTGTTCTCGATATAATTTACCTATTTAACAATACAATCTACTATTACCTACTGGTCATTCTATCTATGTTTATTCTATGATAAAAAAAACAACCGCGCGAACACAGAGTAGCGCACATTTTTGTTTGAGATAGCTGTTCTAGTACGTAAGTACATATTACTTCGATGTTTTTTAACAATTTTTTTGATCTTTTGATATTTGACATTTATATAAACATTTACCTACATTTTATTTAAAAATTGACATGTAATATTTATTGTAATCTAAAAACTTGACGCTAAAATATTTTTGGATGGGTACATACCTAATTCATTTTTTTCAACAAGTTACTTAACTAAATTGTGTAGATATTTTTTTTGTTTACTGTAAAAGATTGCACGCCATTATCATGGTAGAATGTAAGGTCTCGTTAATAACTAATAACATCATATTATTATGTACTACATTCTAGCAATAAATAAATTTGAATTTGAATTTGTTACGTACGGAATTCGAACCCGCAACACTGAACCCTACACTCGTTGATAAGTCACTGCGACACGGAGCCGTCAACATATAAATAAATATATGATGTACCAATGCAATGATTTATTAATGATGATGTCCACTCGCGCTCAATTGCAGCTGGTGATCAACGACGAAGAGCTGTCAGTTGTGTCGTCAGCACTTGGCGGAGTCAACGTAGACAACTGTGAAGATCCCAAGAACAACTCTTGCTTGTAAGTATATTCTCCTTCTACTTTTGTAAAAGCCCATAAAAGTTCACCAATGGACCTGGACCTCTCCTTTTGTGGAGAGGATTTGCCACGCTTGGCAGGATGATAGACGAGATTTTGTATATGGTAGAGCCACGCTGCAGCTATATTATGGTTGAAGCATGAATGAGTCGGCTCGACCGGGGAAGGACCATGCTCTCACAGAATACCAGCGTAAAATAGCACCTTAATGCCTGTGTGTTTTGTTGTGTTTCGTATGGTGAGTGTAGAGAACTGGAGACCCTTTTTACTGGAAACGAGGCATCCCATCTTAGTCCTCAAGGGTGACAACGCATCCGCATTTTGATTCTGAATCGGGGTTAAATGTCTACGAGCCACGGCATCCACTTTCCATCAGGTGGACTGTGTGCTCGTTTGTCACCCTTATCCTATAAAAAAGACGATCGTAGAGCACCAGACGTGAGTACCTTTGACATTGCTGACCGACGAAAGTCTGAGTACTTCATGTCTAGTGTGATATGGTCATACCACCATCTCTCTGAAATCATAAAATTTTATGGCATTTCTCATCATCCCTTATAAAAACATCACGAACCGAGGTATTGGGGTGGGATAATCAATTCTCAAAATTTGTAATTCCACTGATTTGGTCTTTTGGAGAAGAATTTTCGACACCGTCGATATATTTATGCATTTGTGGTTATTTATGTACTTGGTATGGTATAACAGATCCACATTGCAACTGTGATATGACTGCAACGAAAATGGCCGAGCCATTCTCGACAAGGGAAACACTCAGACAGTACTCGTCCTTAAAATACAAGGCCGTTGCTAAGGGGAAATGTAAAAAAAGAATTAACGCCCTGACTTCAGAATCCGAAATTATTTTATTCTATTAAGGTCTTTGAAGTCGGCTTTTATTAAAACTTATTTTTTACCCTTTTAAGTGGACGAAGGTATGTAACAGTCGTCTAAATAATTACATAAAAAAACTTCCTACTCTTTTTTGGCACCCTTAAGAGTAGGGAGTTATTACTTTAAATTAATCGAAAAATATTGAAATAAAACCCATTTTGAAAAATAATCATAAAATAGGTTTAGTTCGAACTCCGAACCTTTTTCTGGGGTCGGCTAAAAAACCATAGACTTTGCATTGGTAGCAAGCTAACAAGTCATTCATATAGAAGATAAATTTAGTAGACCTCTTTAATTCTCTAACACACTACTAAACATCGATTATAAATTTAATAGTTGTGTACATGACGCTCAATATCATAGTATAATCGTCATAGTGTATTAAATTAACTATGATAAGAATATTGTACAATGTAATGTTTCCATTTCAGAGACAAGAATCTGTGTAAAGAGAAGCTGGAACCATCATTTCATTATCCCACAAATCTATCAGAAAATGACTTCCACCATTCCATAGTACCGAAGAAGGGCATCCAGTTAAAATATCACAAAATAAAATCAAAGAAACGCACGCAACACTTTCATACGGAGAAATACAAAAGTAAGAAGTACGCAGCGGTAAAAATGCGCCAATATATGCAGAACGACACACCCAATAACGAGGTGGTGACTGAAGGACCAGCCTACGATGGACAAACGTACATGCAAGTAAAATATTTGGACAGCAACGAAATCAACTGGGGCGATACGAACTCCTACCCGAGCTTCAGTGGGAAAGATAGCTTCATACACATAGACGACGAAGAGACAATGAAAAGGTGAGTAGGAAATATTTTTTTTATCCAACTGCCCCAGAAGGAGGATAATGTTTTTCGAGAGTGTGTATGTGTGTGTGCGTGTGCGTGTGAGTGTGCGTGTGCTTAACAACGTTTAACAAACACCAATTAGAACTTAAAACACACCAATAATTAATCACACTTAACGCTTTAGTTCACTTTATTTCGCTTCGAAGTCTTCACTTGATCGCCAATTCTATTCTGCCTCGGTAGAGGTCTTTAACGCTTTATATAGGACTTTTTTTATGAAACATTAGAAAGTTCTCTCCTAGTTCTGCCACTCGATATTAGATGGCGTTAGTGGGAGAGTTATGAATTTTCTAGAAAGCTCTCCTACTGCTTGCTACTCCATACTAGATGGCGCTAGTGGCATTTACCAGGCATTAATTATGGCGCGCAACAATATTATAGGGTGTCATTAGAATCGTCTTCGTCTTAGTTGTGAAAGTGAAATAGAGTATAAATTTTTTCTCTTTTTAGTAAACTTTTTACGCGTTCGGGTTTTTTAATTACTATTTCAATTTAAAGCTTCTTCTCCTTCGTCATCAGCTGAATTCAGAATAATAATTTGCCTTAAACGTTTTTTATAGAGTTTTTTATAGAATAAGGCTGACAAACGAGCTCACAGTCCTTCTCATGATAAGTGGATGCTGTGGCCCATAGCCATCTACATATATCTTCGGTTAAGAATCAAAATGCAGATGCGTTGCCACCCTTGAGGACTTAGATGGAATGTCTTCACTACTCCTAACACCACTTCATTAGGGAAGGCACACCGTCGCTAATACGACACGTGTTTCGCCCCTTAATGAGACTCTATCAGGAGAAAATATACTCTGCAATTGCTGACTTATCAAGAGTATATCTTAAAAAAGGATCGTAGTTTTGGGGGCGTGGCTTATTCCTTTGTCAGTTAAGCTCACGGACGACTGAGGGAGAGTCAAAATTAAAGTGATGCAATAACTTCATTGACGCGCCTGGAAAAAACTAAGTAAGCGCCAAACAACATATTTTTTTAACAAAACTTTGTTATGGATTAAAAATGGATTATGAGAATTTAGACATGATCATTTACTATGCCTTAAAAATAATTCCATGAACGTATTCATAAAAATATTGTGTTAGCATGGAGAAATGTAACTAATTGTAGCCCACTTTACAGTTGATTTCAATCGAGAAAATTACATGATATCGAGATCCAACGTTATATAGTCAAAAATCATACACCAAAAATTTGGTTCGTAATATATAATACTCAAAGCAATATCTGAAACAGAAAATCCACCAAATTTTTGAGGTATCACCTTAAAAAGGACGTTATTCTTAGGGTATAAATAAGCATAGCCTACTTATGTATACTCTAAGGTCATACCCGCTCTCATTCAATTCGGTATTTTATTTTGGATCCTTACTACTATAGAACGTACTAATGAATAAAACTGATGGCTCTATTTAAGGCCCAATTTACATTTTGAGAAGTGACAAGTGCGAGTGGCAAGTGAAACTGACAAATGACAAGTGCTTAGTGCGTGTGAACAGGCAGGACAAGTGATAAGTGTGAATAAAATACGCACTAAGCACTTGTCATTTGTCAGTTACACTTGCCACTCCCACTTGTCACTTTTCAAAACGTAAACTGGGCTTAAGTAGTACGTATTTTATTTTCGACGTGGATCTTGCCTACTTAGCTTTCAATATATTTAATATAACGTATTACCGTTACTTAGTAATACCCGATTCTAATCATACAAACGTATACACATTTTCGAAAAACTTTACCGAATTTCGACCACGGCGGTCAGCCTCAACGGAGACTGGCCATCGGCGCAGGACAGGATTATAGTGCCCAAGTGTATGCGCAAGCACAGGTGTACGCTCTATTCCTTGACTCTCAATAGCTAGTTCAATGTGGTGGTAAGCTGACATGACGCACGATTAACGGCTTTACGTGCTCCAGAATTTCTTGACGGAAAAACTCAATAACTGATTTTATTGGCTCGACCCGGGACTCCAACCTAGGACCTCATGATCACAGTTCTGTACCTAGCAGTGGGACGTATATAGGCTGCCATTTTAACTTATGGATAATAAACCAAAACATAGAATAATCTACTTAATTAATAAAATAGGTCACATGGTGGACAGGTCTCATGTAGAATAAAACTATTTATTTGGATTTTATCGCGTTTAATTAACTTTTTTAATTCCCGACGTTTCGAGTGCTTTACAGCACCCATGGCCACGGAGGGACCGAAATATTTGACGTCCCAATGTCATAGTAAGCCCAGCTACCTTCAGTTTTTCAATATTAATTTCTGGTCTGATCTATGCATAACGAGCTTACAGTATCTGGTAGTCTTGCAGTGGTATGCTTGGATAAAATCCGTATACATAGTTTTATTCAATGCGTAGTGTTTGCGTAAATTTTAGAAATTATTGTGTCTGTATAAGCATTAGGTCTCATGTTATTATGCACTGTTATATGAAGCGCTCCATGTATATTTTTGTTAGTCGGAGTTGTGAGTGTGATTGATTGACTAACGTTGTGCACCGGTGGCTCCGGCAGGCTCCTGAGCTACGGGCTGGACATCAACATCCGGTTCCGCGCGCGCGCGCCGCAGCGGCTGCTTGTGTGGAGCGGGCGCGCGCGCGCCCCCGCCGCGCCCGCCATCCCGCACGCGCCCCCCTCCGACTTCTTATCACTCGCCATTGAGAACTCAGTGCTCGTGTTCAGGTAACCTTTTTTTTTTTAATTTTTTCGCCGTGAATACTAAGGTGGAGTTAAAAATGTTTTTTTAAGCTATTGCATAGCTTCTATCGCGGGCCTTGAGCGCGAGAACCGAATCCAGAAATGCCGTAACGAAAATAACCTCACGCTCCCCACTCCGACGGGCACGGAGGTGTGGTGTTGAAAGCCGTGCATCGTCTAACGTCGTTTCAGTTCGGCAGACTTCGGCACGGTGTTTGTGTGCGTGCGACTAGACGTATGCGTGTACACTAGCTGCTAACTCAATGATAAAAATTGCGAAAATATTTTTATTCTAGGTCTAATATTAAGTGGTGTCCCGGATAGAACAAAGTTTTGAAAAAAAGTCCGAAACATGTCAATGTTCGTTAAAATTTTATAAACTATCATTGAAATTCATCTGTTGTCTCTGAACACATCCAATCATTAGTAAGGCGTCAATTTTCACAGTTCAACATTTCAGTCTCAAATATACATACATATATAATTACCAGTTTCTGTTACTAGTAAACGTTTTAAGCATGCAAAATACTATTTTAATAAATTATTAGGGGGTATATCTGAACGAGAGCCGTGGTAGCTCAGTGGTTAACGCTCGCTGTAAATATAACAGAACGCGAGTAACCCGGGTTCGATCCCCGCCGGCACCAATGAAATTGTTAATTGCAATAATGATTTCTTATATTTACGCGAACATTGCACATGATTAAAACTACTTTTACGGATTTTATCGCGTTTATTTTTACTTTTTATTTTTAATTCCCGACGTTTCGGGCGCTTTCCAGCACCCATGGTCACGGGGGACTGAGATGACTGACGTCCCGATGTCATTGTTAAACCCGGAGTACCTTCAGCTTTTTTAATTATTGTTTATGGTCCGATCTATGCAAAATGAACTGACTATGTCCTGAGGTCTTGCAGTGGTAGGCTTGGGTTTAGTTTTAATTTTATTGATTATAGGATCCCAAGCAGGTGGTAGTACCCAGCCTCCTTCTCTATTGAAATTAGGATGTTTTTTAATTTCAATAGCCTCACGTATCATCCTTGGTAGGAATCGGTGTTCTTTCGCGAGGATTTGTGGTCTATCAAATCTGATGTAATGGTTGGGGCCGTCTAGGATATGATCACAAACTGCAGACTTCCCGGAACGTTGATGCTTCACATCAGCTATATGTTCTTTTACGCGGGTCCTAATTGATCTTTTGGTTTGTCCTATATAAGAGAGACCACATTCACAATCAAGCTTGTACACTCCTGCATCTTGTAGAGGAATATGACACTTGACGGATGGTAGGAACTGACTAATCTTCTTCGGCGGCTTGTAGAATGTTCTAATAGAAGCTCGCTTCAAGATATAGCCAATCTTGTCTGTGACACCTCTGACATATGGTAGTACAGCAGGCACACGCTCGACTGTGGCCGGCTTCACTCGGTCACTGTGACGTAGGCGCGGGACCCGAAGCTTGTTGTCGTGCAGAACTTGCTTGACGTGCTGAAGCTCGGCGGCCAGGTGTTTGCTGTCACAGATCCCTCGTGCTCTCTGTAACAAAGATTTGCCCACGGTAGCTAACTGTGAAGGATGGTGGTGAGATTCACCGTTTAAATATCGGTTTGTATGGGTCTTTTTCCTATACACAGTATGACCAATGGTGTTATTAGGATTTCGGATGACTAACACATCTAGGAAAGGTAAGGAATTATTGGCCTCTAACTCAATAGTAAATTGAATTTTAGCGTTTATGGAATTAAGATGTTCTAAAAATGCAGTAACTTTGTCTGATGGTAAAATTGTGAAAGTATCGTCTACGTACCGCTTGTAGATCCTTGGTGTAACAGGTGCAGTAAGGAGGGCTTTCTCCTCAAAGTCTTCCATGAATATATCGGCGACAATGGGAGATACAGGTGAGCCCATCGCCACACCATCTACTTGCTTGTAAAACTCTTCCTTCCACAATAGATAGCCAGATGTAAGGCAATGTCTTAGTAATACTGCATATTCTGCTGGCATGTTATTTTCCTCTAGTTTCCTAGTTATAATTGAGATGCAGTCTTCAACAGGTAGGCATGTAAATAGAGACTGAACATCAAAACTGACCATGGTTTCATTGTCAGTAAGATGTAGGTCTTTTATCTCACTGACAAAATGGTATGAATCCTTAGTGTGTGCTCTTGTGTGTCCTCTGAGTGGTGATAATATTTTAGCTAAGTATTGAGCCAATCTGTAAGTTGGCGAATCAATCTGACTCACTATTGGACGTAATGGAGCATTCGGTTTGTGTATCTTTGGTAACCCATACAACTTCGGTGGTTTGGCACAGGAAGGTATTATCGAATTAACGTCCAGATTCAATTTTTCGGAGTATTTCTTAATTAGATCGCTAGTTGTTTTAAGCGTATTAGTTGTAGGGTCTGTTTTGACTGTCAGTTCCTACCATCCGTCAAGTGTCATATTCCTCTACAAGATGCAGGAGTGTACAAGCTTGATTGTGAATGTGGTCTTTCTTATATAGGACAAACCAAAAGATCAATTAGGACCCGCGTAAAAGAACATATAGCTGATGTGAAGCATCAACGTTCCGGGAAGTCTGCAGTTTGTGATCATATCCTAGACGGCCCCAACCATTACATCAGATTTGATAGACCACAAATCCTCGCGAAAGAACACCGATTCCTACCAAGGATGATACGTGAGGCTATTGAAATTAAAAAACATCCTAATTTCAATAGAGAAGGAGGCTGGGTACTACCACCTGCTTGGGATCCTATAATCAATAAAATTAAAACTAAACCCAAGCATACCACTGCAAGACCTCAGGACATAGTCAGTTCATTTTGCATAGATCGGACCATAAACAATAATTAAAAAAGCTGAAGGTACTCCGGGTTTAACAATGACATCGGGACGTCAGTCATCTCAGTCCCCCGTGACCATGGGTGCTGGAAAGCGCCCGAAACGTCGGGAATTAAAAATAAAAAGTAAAAATAAACGCGATAAAATCCGTAAAAGTAGTTTTAATCATGTTAATTGCAATTTTAAGTGCTGATTTACCACGTGCTCGGCGGTGAAGGAAAACATCGTGAGGAAACCTGCATGTCTGAGGAATAAGAAAAAAAATATTTCGAAGACTCATCAACACGCATTTGGGCAGCGCGGCGGACAGTTCCTTGCCCTAAAACCCTCTCAGAAATGAGGGGAGGCCTGAGCCCAGCAGTGGGACGTATATAGGCTGTAACTTTACTTACTTACTTTATATCTGAACGAGGTTGTGCCAAATAAACGAAATTATAATTTAATTCAAAATTATTTCGCACTGGGGTACCTCAAGAAATAAATATATTTTATATACTTAATTATCTCATCCATAGGGAGCTTTTCAACAATGCGCTATTACAATTTTAACGAAAAAAAACTAGTGGCGGATAATTCTGAAAACTAATTTATACAATAAGGTTGATACTGTCCACCTGACGATTAGTGAATGCTGGGACACATAAACATCTAAATCTATCATCAATAAAAAATCAAAATGCAGATACGTTGTCACCCCTGAGTACTAAGATGAAATGCCTCGTTTCCAGTAAAAAGAGTCTCCGGTTCCTACACTCACCATACGAAACACAGCAGCATTAGTTGCTATTTAACGCTGGTTTTCTGTGAGAGCATAGCCATTCCCTGGTGGAGCCGACCCATTCGTGCTACAAACATAATATAGCTACAGCGGTGCTCTACCACGTATACGTTTTACGTGAATATGTGTACGTAATGTCAAAATTTACCTATACTAAAGGGAAATTATGTGACCCAGCAATAACAAGCCCCCTCCGGCGGGCGCGATGCGTTACAGAGGTCTTTGGTTACAGTCCTCACTTAAATAAATTAATTAATTAAAATGTATCGAAATTCAAATTATATCCACCCTACTTTATGAACGGCAATAAAACAATGAATTTAGTAGGCATCTTTAAACTTGTCACTTCGCATGGTCACAGGCTCAAGTGCAAAGGGCAAAGTGTTTGTTCAAAAAAAAATTTCAAACGTTTCATTCAAAAATTTTGTTATTATTTTTTGTTAAATATCAACGCCATTGGCTTCTACTCCGTTCACATGTTGCACCCTATTTTTTTCCGGACGGTAAAAAAGGTCATCTAGTATATGTTTATTTCTTTGTAATTTTCTACAGACCTTTGTAGGCTTGACGTATTGAAGTGTTAGCATCGAAATATCTGTTGTAATTACCCTTATTTAAATACCCTTAATTATTACATCGAAAAGGCTTACCCGTTCAAAAACATTAACCTCTATGGCTTGTTTTGTAATGGACTGGGTTAGTACAACGCTCTCACTTTCACAGAATACCAGCTTAATGCAGCTGTGTTTCGTATGATGAGAGAGATAGAGAGATCGAAGATCTTTTTTACTGGAAAAGGGGCATTCCATCTTAGTCCTCAGGGGTGACACTGCATCTGCATTTCGATTCTTAATTGAAGATAAATATAGATGGCTATGCACCACAGCATTCACTTACCTACATCAGGTGGACTGTTTGCTTGTTTGTCACCCATATTCCATAAAAAAATTGCGGAAGTAGATAGGGCTGGTAAGAACCGGTCATCAAGAAAAGAATAATGGCAAAGACATTACGTCATCCTGTCAAACTCCTAATGATGATAAGTGATGACACCTAATTTATATTTTTATTGTTTGTTTCGAATAGTGTATCGTTGAGTGCCTATTGGCCTCAGTGATCTCTTGACACCAAGGAATATATTCGCTTTTCAAAAGTTTAAAAAAAAACTCGTATTTTTTTACAGATACGATCTGGGAAGCGGAGAAGTTGTGATTATAGCGAATCATACAAAAGTCGACGATGGTCTGTGGCACAGAGCACGAGCGACGAGGTAAAGAAAAAATTACGTAAAATTAAATCACGGTATTTTATCATCATCACAGCTCTTCACAAATCCACTGCTGGTCATAGGCCTCCCCCAAGGAGTGCTTTTATTTGAAATTATGTCAAGTTGAATTATGATTTATGAGCAACAACGTTTTGCCTACCGATCGACCCTTACGAACACAGAATACTATAATACATACATAATAGAACAGGGGAGTGGGCGGAGCCCGTGTAGCCACTAAAATGGCACTAACACGTCAATTCACACGTATAAATGTCAATACGAGATGTGTTTTGACGTTACAATCGTTTCCAAATTTCGCATGCAAATTATTTAGAAAATGCCAAGTTGCACGCTATTCACAAATAAATATGTATTAAAATCCGTCCGTAATCACTACTACAAACCCGATTGCTTGTATGTGTGCTCTCGGCGACGCCTATCCTTGTACAAAGTAAGGTTGACAGCCATTCTATCGTGAAATATAGTATTCTATGCTTACGAATGTGTACGTGAACTGTAAAATCAGTTAAAATAATGCATTACCACGTAATTTGAATTAAAAGATAAAAGGGACAGAATGTTTGAGCTTTTTTTATTAATTTTTCCTTACCATTTGCCTATATTACCTATTCTGAACGTTCTCTAACGAATTTGGCCGGTTATTGCAAAATAACCCAGTATTACTTTAGAGCTTTAGACCCTATATGACATTATTAATACCTAAATTTAACACTGAGACATAAAATGTTCAGACCAGCGATGGGGATTAGTGTCCAAAATGAAATGAAAGGAGGCCTGTGCCCAGTGTATATAGGCTGCAACTTCGCCTTGTACTCTAGCAATATGAAATTATTACATAAACTGAACACTGATTGATTTTCCCATGTCTCTTTCCATTTTGTTTATACGCCACACATAAAATATCCAAACCAGCGACGGGCAGTAGCGTCCAAAGTTTAAGTGTCCAATGTTTTCGTGTCATTGTCGATGATGTCGTCAACCATCTCTGACGTGACGATTAAGGCATATCCTCCTAACTACATGAGAGGCACATGTCTAGCTGTGGTCTTATGATTGGCTGGCGAAGCAAAAGAACAATAAATTCATTTTGAACGCAATTGCAAAACTAATATGAATCTCGAATAGATTTCACTACCAGAAAAATCTCATTGACCTTAAATATCTATTACAATCGGGTGTGATATCAGGTATCAGGTGTCCCTCCTATCATTACAAATTGAAGCAATTAATCAAATCTCCTTCATATAAAATTGAAGCAATTAGAAATTGAAGCAATTAATCAAATCTGCTTTATAAAAACATTTTTAAATCAAAAAGTCTATCCATTTTCATTTATTTTTTTCTTTCATTACAAAGAAATCGACAAGCCGGCGTGCTTGAAGTGGATGGGTTAGGCTCCATCGGCAAAATATCACCAGGGAAACTGAAACAACTTAACACAGAAAATGGTCTTTACATAGGTAAGTGATGCAATAAAATTCATTTAAAATTTTCATTTACAATTAACATTAATTAAACTCAAGTCATGGTTCATTAGGTTCGATCCAAAAAAAATGTAAATTCGATAAAAATTGTCTAGAGTCTATACTGGATGACCTTTCTTACCATCTAAAAAAAAAAGGGTGTAACATGTGAATTGTGAACGGAGTAGAAGCCTATGGCACTGATATTTCACAAAAAATAAAAACAAACATTTTGAATTAAATTATTTTTTTTATAGGATAGGGTGACAAACGAGCACACAGTCCACCTGATGGTAAGTGGTTGCTGTGGCCCACAGACATCTACATCTATCCTCGATTACGAATCAAAATGCAGATGCGTTTTCACCCGTGAGGACTAAGATGGAATGCCTCGTTTCCAGTAAAAAGGGTCTCCGGTTCTCTACACTCACCATACGAAATACAGCAGCATTAAGTTACTATTTTACGCTGGTATTCTGTGAGAGCGTGGTCCTTCCCCGGTCGAGCCGACCCATTCGTGCTACAACTATACTTCTAATATAAGTGCAGCATGGCTCTACCGCGTATAAAATAATTATAATTAATTAAAATCTATCGACATTCAAAAATTATCCACCATATCATACGAACGGCAACGCTGGGTCACAGGCTAATGTGGATATGATTTGAATTTCGGTAGATTTTTATTTATTTATTTATTTAATAAAGCGACAGTAGTCTAATGGCAGGGCACGGATCGCGAAATCAAGAGGTCGTAGATTCAAACCCGCCATTTGATTACTGTGGTGAACCACTCCTAACACAAGCGTTTCAAGCTTACCAGGAGTGGTTAAAAGGAATTTTAGTAATCTTAATAAATAAGATTACTAATATTTTTCTATTAAAAAAATATTAATATAAAACTTTTGTTTTTATTTTTTAAAAGTTCCTTCGTAAAAAAGGTCACCAGTATACACTACTTAAAAAAAATATAATGTATTTTTGTTTATTTCCTACCCTTGACGTGTATATGTGTGCTACATTGTTAGTTATATTATAATCAAACATGTCTAGTTAAAACGATAAGGTGACTTGGCTGAAAGGCTGACTACTTCTTTCCCACAATGCCGCCCCTTACATTTTGGCCCTGAGGGCCATGCCCTAGATGTTACGACACTGATACTCAAACGATTCATATTAGCTAGTAAATTTGGTGTTTGAATTGCGATATTTCTATGGGACCGTACTTATCATATCAATCAATAATTCGATTACAATTCAATAGGAATATTTGCGACTTTGTAGTAATGGCGTATGAGAATCAGTTATCGTATTTTGTCCCGTAGATTTCGTTAGAGTTGACTATGGGAAATGACTAAAAAGTTTTATGGTTTCCGAATATCGTCACAACGTATGTATGTAATGAAATGATAATTCACGCCAACCGTTGAATACCCAGACCAATGATAGACTGTATTCGGCAAAAAGCAAAAGTGCATGATAGCACACACAGCACTAAACTGTGAAAAACCAGTTGCTTCCAAACTAAATTCATTTGGTGATTTGAATGCTCCTTGATTAAAATTTGGAACTCCTAAAGAGGCTTATTGTTGATTCACATAATTATAGAGTTGTAAATAATTTTATATTTATATTATTATTATTTACATTCCAGGTGGATTGCCGTCTATAGAACTGAACACCATGGGAAAATACAAAAGCGGTTTAATAGGATGTGTATCCCAAATATCTCTTAGTGGTGATTTTGATATACCGCTTTCACTGTCGAAGCTTCCACATACAATCACCAACAACGTTGGAAGATGCACTCCATAATTCAAATTCGATTTTTATAATTCGAATTGGTTCATTTAAATGAATCATAAATTCATTTTTTACAAGCAAATATCCAGTTCGTTTATTTTCTTTTATCGCTACATGAACTGATAAACTATTTGTACGAATATTGTTATATGTCATTTATTTTGTAGTTGTGTATTTTGACGAATGATTTGAATTCGAAGAGTTATTTTATAACTCCGTAATCACATATCAATGCATAAAATAACATCAGAAGCAATAATACTATAATTTGAACAATATATAAGTTCCAGAATTTTCATTAAATGAACTGAATTCCGTAGCGTAAAATATGAAATTATATAAAATTACCGTTACCTAGTCAATTTAGAATATATGTATTTAAACTATCATTTCTGTAATTTTTTAATATATTCAAAATAATTTATTAAACAAACTCTTTTCATATTTTTATAAATTCATTTAATTCTCATTTATTTCTCCATGAAAATGGAATCAACTTTTCAAAGTGCTTTACTATCTAGTAAATACGAAAATTACTATTTGTAATGTTAAAGTAAATAAAATTATAGTTGTATGAGTGGTTTGCACGCGTTTTTCATTTCATCCAACATAATTAGTTAATTGAATAGATGCAATTTGTTACAAGAGTGTTTATAAATAAATTATTGAGTATACCTAGCGTTTGTACATGGAAAAAAATCATATGAACGTGGTTTAGAGTTTGTATTTAGATACTAATACAATATTATTGCCATACGTATTAATTGAGCTTTTGTATGAAGTGGTAAACAGGTTGCCAGGTATGTTTGTCAATAATAATATTTTTGAGGTAAGAAATTAAAATTTAATTTAACTACAATAAGGTTCCTCTCTGTTTGGAGAAGAACTGCTGGAAGAAATGAAGTCATTTTGAAAGAAAAGTGAAATTATTTTTGACATACTTAGTCCCAGGTCATTTATTTTATATTTCTGATGAAATGTATGAGTGTTAAGAAAAGGATATTTTAAGTTTTATATATAAAAACTAGCTGAAGCCCGTAGACGTTGAAACGTAACGTAAACGTACCGTCTGAAAAAATATAGGGTGTAACATGTGAACGGAGTAAAGGCGTAATATGGCAATGATATTTTACAAAAATTAAAACCAAAAATTATGAATTAAGCGGTTGAAAAACTTTTTTGAAAAATTACTTTGCCCTTTGCCCTTAAGCATGTGACCTAGCAAAGTAACAAGATCAAAGATGCCTACTAAATTTATCGTTTTTTTGCCGTTCGTAAAGTAGAGTGGATATGATTTGGATCTCGATATATTTTAATTTAATTAATTATTTAATTTATTTAAAAAAAATATTCATTTTATGTAAAATATCAGTGCCGTAGGTTTCTACTCCGTTCACATGTTGCACCCAATTTTTTTTGCAGACAGTAAAAAAGGTCATATACCTAAAAAATTTTTACGGTGATCGATCGAATAGATTTTGAGTTAGACGATTTCATATATACAAACATCCTCTTTTATATGTACAGATAAAGTAAAAATATATCAAAATTAAGCTGTATGTATGTAATGGATTCAAAGTCCTAGAAATTAATAAAAAAAATAGTTTGGATAGTTACCAACAATCTGGCAACCTTTAACATTGTCATTTATTTTATGCTTACCACTTGCTTTGCTTTGAAAAACGTTTGTTCCAAAGAATTAAGGCACCGCTCTAGTCATAATAGAATTTTGTATCTATCCAGTAGGATAACAAAATACTTTAAATGAAATGAAAGTTTCCCAATTTCCAAATTCTAGTGATTTAATTGAGAAATACTTTAAAAATAATACGTTTCCTAACCTCGTAAGAATATATTATTTAGAATGTTTAACATTTAAAACCAGCAATCAAAGATTTTTGTGAACAATTCGTATGAAAAGTCTTATATTATACAGTATCTATAACCAATATCGAAAAAAATATTATAACATGTCATCCTAAATAAATGCAAAAAAGTGGCTGTCCAAAATATAATACACGCTGTATATAACATAAAAAATGTAGTACTTATATTAGATATCGTACAAAAATTTATTTTTTGTACTTTATACTAATTAAAATTTAATAAGACTTCAGCTTGATTATTATTAATTTATTGTGATCAAGTTTTGACCACAAGCTCCTGCAATTTAAAATAAAATTGTCTTATAATTTTGTTACAACCGAACAAGTACTTGGAAACCCTTAGCATAAGTTTTGACAATGTTTCGTATCATTATCAACTAAAATTATATGAAAATATGAACAGCGGCAGCGCCCCCTGGCGGCCGTGAATGAAACTATGTTTTGTAATACAAATTTGCTTTATTCCTCGCTCTTATGATAAAAAGGAAATCTCATGCTTAGGGACTGATTGCGATAAAAACCTCACATTATTTTGTATTAGAATTAACAAAACTTATAACAGCAATTCTGTCAATTTATAACATTCACATTTTTTCATTTGGGCAGCCCTCATAATTACTTTCACGTGAATCTTAGGCAAATTTTACAAAAAATCTATATCATACCTTTATTATACCTCCCAAACTTAGTCACTAGGATTTCATTTACACCAATAATTTCTGTCAATTAAATATTTCACAGGGTTTAAAATTGGTTATTGTGTAATAATAAATAACATAATGACATAGCTTTATTGTTTTTCGAATTTATTTCTATTTTTATCCATACCTTATATTCGGTTATTCCCAATACATTTTTTTTTTAAAGACCATTTCCCCAGATTAGTTTTAACGAAACTTACGAGTATATTTCAAAATTATTGACTGTATTTATTTCTGTTAACTTATCTGTATTTTGCATTTAGATATTTTTATTTATTGTATTTGATATAAATGTGACGCAACTATTGATGGTAAATGTAAAAGCGATGATTTGCATTTAGATATTTAAGATTTTATTTAATTAAGCATTTTATAGTAAGTACACACTTTTTCCTCCTCCCTCTCAGAAATGAGGGGAGGCCTGTGCCCAGCAGTGGGACGTATATAGGCAGTAACTTTACTTTTACACACTTTTTATTCCTTATATTCTATAATTTTATCAGTGGTCAATGGATTTGAAATATATGTACAGACACAATAAATAACTATTTAATAATTAATAATTTAATACAGATTGCATAAACAAAATACCATTTTTAATCTGTATTATGTATATTTCAAGCCATTGATTACTGAATACTTTCATTTCATGGCGGAGTTTTAGAATGAGTTTGTCTTTAATATAATGTAGATCTACGAATAGCTTGATCTAGCATTAGTTTTGTATGTGAAACCTGTCCGATGTATTATACGCCGTTATTTGTACAAAAATTATAACAATAAAATATAAAACATCTGAGTGTTATTTGTTTATGAGTTGAGGGGGTGTACAGTGTAGTGGCGGAGTTTTTTTGTATAGAATAAGGGTGAAATCCGAGCGCACAGTCCACCTGAGGGTATGTTGATGCTGTGGCTAATAGACATCTACTTTAACTGAACGCAGATGCATTGTCACCCCTGAGGACTAAGATGGAATGCCTCGTTTCCAGTAAAAAAGTTCTCTTCGGATCTTTACAGTCACCATACGAAACACAGCAGTATTAAGCTGCTATTTTACGCTGGTGTATGTATATGGACTACCTCATACCGTCCTGTGAGTGCCGTGAGAGGCGACAGATGGTAACAAACAAGAAGATCGGCAGCTGCGTCTTGCTAATAACAAATTAAAAAAACTGCGGTTGGCAATCCACCTGCCAAGCGTGGCAACTATGGCAACTACCCCATATAAAGCAATCTATGATGAGGCCTATCTGCAGCAGTGGACTTTGGTTATGCTTTAAGGGTAAGGGGGTGTATACCAGCATTTTCTCGAGTGCCACCCCATCTGCAAGCAATGTTCTGACGACCGAATATATTTGTTTGATAAGCGCTGCGCTCTCCAACGCCTGCCTGAAGTATGAGACGTTGAGACCTGATGAGTCTTTCATATCTCTAATATAAAAATCAATCGCTGTCCGGTAGTCTGTTTTAAAATCGAAACTGGCTCGATCGATTCTGATGAATTTTTTGTGTGTGTTTGAGTGGAGCCCTGGATGGTTTAGATGCACTATTGGACCTGTTAGGTAGAGTTGTCGAGATCCAGGAATCACCCGCGCGAAGCCAAGTCAGGATGCAATAGGGGAAATATAATCTCAAATGGCTTAGCAAGATCCTTCGGAGGCTTAGCAAGATTCCTTATGCCGAAAGTATTGCAGCATTAATTTTGAAATAAATATATGGTAAATTTGAGGATTAATGTTAAGGACTATGTTAGACGAAAACACGATTCCGTAAAATTTTCTCGATAGAAAAAAATCCAAAGTTACCTCCAAACTGAACAATAAACCGCTATTTTATTTTATTATTCATAAAATACTTTAAATATGTAAGATCATGAAACTTTGAATACTAACTGAACTAACTATAAAGCAGTGCTTATGTTATTTACTTTTTTTAAATACCATTATTTTCACTGTAAAAAGAAATTACCTAAACTATCGGCGCGTAAGCTTGATTCCTGTCCCCCCCCCCCCCCCGTTACCGTTAGTTTCGCTTCGGCCTTTGAAGGGGGAGGTTGTGTCGCTTACGATCAGAATACACATTACGCAATAGGACTACGTAAAATTAAAATGGTAAATAACGTTAATAAAAATAAGACGCGACTGGGTTGGCGTTAAGAAACAGGCATAAATATGATAAATCTAATGAAATAAGTATCTAACGACCTATGTAATTACAGTATTATTGATTACAAACATGTCGGTGCATAGCATAACGCGCGGAGAAGTGGGGGCGAAATTAGAATTTGAGCTGACTTACTATATCCCCTTATATATTAAGATTCTTGTGACACATATACACTAACATTTGTCTTCAATTTAAAATTTATTTTATTTATTTATTTATTTAAAAGGACAACCAACAAGACGAAAACTACAATATTTAA